CGACAAACCATATTATTTAAAAATAAACGGGTATGTATTGTGAACAATGCGCAGACATGTTGTTCTTCACAGCACTAGTATTATCTTCTTTATTTTTCCTAAATGACGTTACATGTGGTCGTATCCTTTTCATACCAGGTATGGGGTACAGTCATCACGCTATCATGCTGCAAATGGGGGACGTGCTAACTCGACATGGTCATTATGTCCGCTATTTGCTGTCATCCGCTCATCCATGCAGCATTGGACCAGAACATACATCACAGACTATCATGGTGAATGTCAGCATGACACGAAAATATTTTGAAGCAAACCTCAAACCATGTTAACAACTGGGCTGTTGGACCCAATGAACATGTCAGCCTACCTGGCATACGGCCAGTTGCTAACCGATCTTTGTGACAGCATGTTAGAAGAACGCACTAGTTTTATGAAACACTTGGAGTCTGAACGTTTTGATTTAGTAATTTTGGAAGATGTCTCATTATGTGGTTCAATGATTGCAAAGATGCTAGACCTTCCATTCATTTACACTAGTTTGTCCAATACTATATTAGATGTTCAACGCTACGTGCTTTTCCAACTTTCATATATCCCTGTCATGGCTACAGGTATGACCATACCAATGAGTTTCATCGAGAGAGTTCACAATACTCTACTGGGCATTGTTGATTCTTTGATATATCGGTATATGTTTATATGGAATGTTCATGCACTGAATCTAAAACATGGAGTTATAGCAGACAACAATTATTATGAAATACAAGATGCCGAACTTATTTTATGGAACAAAGATTTTATCCTTGATTTTCCGCGTCCCTTTTCAACGAATGTTGTGCCATATGGTGCACTTACAGTCAAACCGGCGATGCCACTTGAGCAGGTAAGTAACAGGCGGCGCAGATTCGCGACGAGGAAGTATGTCATAACATATAAGTGAAAACCAATTATTGGCTATCACAGATTAAAATGATTTCTCTTTAAAAACAATAGTATTTAATCTTGCATTTTAAAGTTAAATATTTAGTTTATAAATGTCAGTATTAGCGAAAAATCACAAAATTGTTTTTCTTTCTCCATTTTGTAAATTAAAAATGGCCGTGATATATTATTATTTCGAAACACATGAATGCAATATGGAAACTAAAATATTATAGGTTATTGTCGTGCTCATATACATTCAAGGATTAGATATTGTTGGTTATGTGATCACTCTCTTATCAAAGACGATTATATAAACGTCATGTTTTAGCGAGTAAATATAACAATTTATTTACTTAGTTATTTATTATTAAGTAAACTCGAAATATCAAGGTAAACTGCAGACAAAGTCTTTTTTTGAAACACTTACCTTATGTATTACTAAATAGAAACGTTTATACTGTGAAATACTTTATTTTAGCTGGAATTAATTTTCGCTGAAAAGACCTTTTCGGTGTTTTGTATGGAATTTATTTTCACTGATTTTTGACGAGTTGAATGTAAAACATATGAAAAAAGATATATTCTGGATTTATTTATGAATCATTCCTTTAGTGAACATAGTAAAAATTAATTTCAAGCAAAAATATATTAATAGTATTTTACATTAATAGTATTTTACAGTATTTGCTTAATTGTTTGATTTGGCATAGCGACGACGCAATGTCTTCTTCGAAACACTTATCTTATGTGGTTATTACGAGGATACCTCAAAGTGTCCACGAAGGCAGTACAGCGAGAGTATCGACCGACGCGCAGCGGATTATCAGCACGATTATTAG